TTTATAAGTTTCTGTTTCCCTATAAAGACTGCCTTCTGAATCTCCAAATCACCGAATCTCTTACGAATCTTTTCAGAATTAATTCAGAGGCTCTGAATGGATTCAGAAAGTTTTAAGCTTCTAGCAATTTGATTGGGATTGGGAGATTCGGCCTCTGAATTGGGCCAAATCTTCTCTGAATCGAATCACGAACTGAAGCTTTGCATAGCCCTACCCCCTATCACCCAGGAGCACCCCACATGGTGCCCCTTCACAACTCTGGGGGTCCCTCCCCTGTGAGGACCCTCTCTCCAGGCTAACTTACTACTACATGGTCCTGGAGGGTTGCTTCCCATTCTCCAGATTGAACTCTGTTCCCTGCCAAGCTTTCCTGATGCCTGACTCTGCTGCCACCAGCCCAGCTTAAGTAGAGTGTGTACAGCAGGTGCTTCACCTTATGCTAGGGGCTGGAGGCCTGGGCAGCCTTGTGCAGTACTGGGGATTGGTCTGCTCCTGGACCCTCTGTGCAGGGTTGTTTGCACTGAGCTGCTGCCTCGTGCCAGAAGCTGTAGACCCAAGCCACCTCCAGCAGCTCCCAGGGTCTTTCAACCTCTGTGCAGCACCCCCCTGCACTGAGCTCCTGGCCTTGCATGGAGGTTGGGGACCTGAGCCACCCATGCTGCTCCAAAGATCCTGCTCCATGTACCAGCCTCTGCACCGTATCTCTGGCCTCACGCCAAAGGTTGCAGTCCCGAGCCACCTCATGCAGCTCCTAGGGTCCAGCTGTCATGCACCATGCTGCGCACCGAGAGCCTAACCACTGGAGCTGTCCGCAGTTCCCTGCTGATGGAGGTCTTCAGGACCATTTCCAGGCTACTGCTTCACTCGGTTGAGCAGCTCTCTTCAGCTCTTCTAAGCCCTGCTCTTCTCTCTTTTCCATCCCCGATGCACCTCCCTCATGCTGGACACACAGCTCCTTTTATACTCTCCAGAGATCAGCCCCTGAAGTCTTCCAGACCTGACAGTGTTGCAGTCTACAATCAGGTCTGGGGGAGCTCCTCTCCTCCTCCCCTCAGAAGAGAGGCATGACTTTACTTCTCTTGCTGCCTCCTGATTGGTGGATGGGCTCCACCAATCAAAACAGCAGAATCTCAAGCCTGGTACTCAACCCAAGCTCTGGAAGTTAAGCCCGCTACAAACGGCAACACCCACTAACAAGAATTTAGCTTTGAAATTATAATATCAGGTGTTCAGGATGTATTTAACCAAGGCCTTCCATCACAGCTTAGCAGCATGAAAGCATCCAGTGCAGTTTCCGTTGGAACATTTCTGAAGAAATAATTTTCTGTCCTTTGGCTGGTGTTTGCCTGTCTTATCACTGGACATTCAAGCAACAATATCATACATCT